CATACACTGTTTGCCTTTCTCCATATGACTTAGTTTACTAGATAGACTACCCACGAAGTCAATCCATAAGATGATGGGCTGATTTTTCTGCATATGCTTTCAATTTTTCCCATAATGATTGCTCATTGCACTTATGTCTTACATTCTGTTTGTCTTAGAATTTCTATTGCTTTCCTGATAACACACTCTAGATTTCAGATCTTAGACAATTACTGTTAACTCTCTGGAGAACATTACTGGCAAATCTAATCTGGTCTCTTTTCTCTCTCTCTCTCTCTCTCTCTCTCTCTCTCTCTCTCTCTATCTCTCTCTCTCTCTCTGAATGTATAGTAGAGCTTTCTCAGAGTCCAGAAAATCACACAGTAGTATTTTATAGGTAAAACCACCTCTGGTAAAGTTTTCTTGCTAAAACAAAACCACTAAGAAATATGAGCAAAAATAGTTGTTTCTAATGTCAGAATACTTCTATAGAAAATGGTAGGGTAGAGCCTTGCTATACATTGTTTAAAAGGTAGTCTGTACATGGTCTTCTCAAATATCTCTCCTGCTCAGATATTTTTCTTTAAAAATCCAATTTGTAATTTAAAAATTGATAAATTTTGCTTACACTATAAAAACACAAGTTAAATGCCAGAAATAAAGACCTGAGAAAGGCTTTTGCCACGTCTCACTTTCTATCACATAACAGGCACTCTTTAAAATGAGGTCCAGCCTGTACAAAGAAAACTACAAAACTCTACTTCAGGAAATAAAAGAGGATACGAGGAAATGGAAAAATATCCCCTGTTCATGGATCGGGAGAATTAACATTGTCAAAATGGCAATACTTCCCAAAGCACTGTATAAATTCAACGCAATCCCTATTAGGATACCCATGACATTCTTCAAAGAATTGGAGCAAACACTCCTGAAATTCATATGGAACAATAAGCCCCCACGAATAGCTAAAGCAATTCTTGGGAAAAAGAAAATGGGAGGAATCAACCTCCCTAACTTCAAACTCTACTACAAGGCAGTAATACGTAAAACAGCATGGTACTGGAACAAAGGCAGAGCTGTAGACCAATGGAACAGGGTTGAATACACTGACGTCCCCCCCACAAGTATACGAGCATCTAATCTTCGATAAGGGGACAAGAAAAGTGAAGTGGAGCAGGGAAAGCCTCTTTAACAAATTATGCTGGCAAAACTGAATGGCTATATGCAAAAAAAATGGGCTCATATCTCTGCCTAACTCCGTGTACAAAAGTAAGATCTAAGTGGATTAAAGACCTCAACATCAGACCGGAATCTATAAAATACATTGAGGAAAATGTTGGCAAAACCCTTCATGACGTAGAAGCTAATAGTGTCTTCAAAGATGTCACACCACTGGCCAAGCAAGTGAAAACAGAGATAGATAAATGGGACTATCTTAAACTAAGAAGCTTCTGCACCTCAAAAGAAACAGTGACCAAAATACAAAGACAGTCAACTGAATGGGAAAGGATATTCGCCAACTACACATCTGATAAGGGGTTAATTTCAAGAATATACAAAATACTGGTTCATCTCCACAAAAAGAAAACATTCAAACCCATCAAAAAATGGGGAGATGAAATGAATAGAAACTTTGACAAAGAAGAAATCCGAATGGCTAAAAGACACATGAGAAAATGTTCCACATCATTAATCATCAGGGAGATGCAGATCAAAACCACAATGAGGTATCACCTCACACCACAGAGACTGGCCCATATCCACAAGAACAAAAGCAACCGGTGCTGGCGCGGATGTGGTGAGAAAGGGACACTCCTTCACTGTTGGTGGGAATGCCGACTGGTTCAGCCCTTCTGGAAAACAGTATGGATGATTCTCAAAAAACTAGAAATTGAGCTCCCATTTGACCCAGCAATACCACTCCTGGGAATATATCCCAGAGAGGCAAAAAAGTATAGCCGAAGTGACATCTGCAATTGTCTGTTTATTGCAGCACTCTTTACAATAGCCAGAATCTGGAAAAAACCTGAGTGCCCGAGAACAGATGACTGGTTGAAGAAACTCTGGCACATTTACACAATGGAGTACTATGTAGCTGTTAGAAAAGACGAAGTCATGAAGTTTACATACAAGTGGTACTACATGGAAAGTATCATGTTAAGCGAAATGACTCAGAAAGAAAGGAATAGACATAGAAAGATTGCATTCATCTGGGGAACATAAAGTAACAAAATAGGAAACTAACACCCAAGTATGGCAGAGATTAGTACCAGGAATTTTACTCAATGACCCGGAGGACAACCACACATGTTAGGGGAAGGGGGAGCTCAGAAAGAGAAGGGAACACCAGGTGAAGGGTGTTGGGAGGATCCGCCCATGATGGGAGAGCATGCTGAGGGTAGACTGTCGACCAAGCATGGTTGCCACTCAATGCCTCTTTTGCCGACCATGGCACCCAAAAGGAGAGAGAGGGAAATGCCCTGCCACAGAGGCAGGGTGGGATGGGGACTGGGGGGAGGGGATGCTGGGATCCGAGGTGGTGGGAAATGCGCACTGGTGGAGGGATGGGTGTTTGATCATTGTATAATCGAAACCCAAGCACAAAAATGTGTAAGTCTACAACTGTACCTCATGGTGCCTCACTATTAAAAAATAAATAAATATAAAAAAAAACTATTCTAATATAAGTCCATAAAGCTCAAAAAAAAAATAAAATAAAATGAGGTCCAGGGGGTATGGTGCCGCCAGCGGGTCAATTTGTTCCTGTGAGGCGAGTGCATCAGCAGCCTGATGGCACCATCAGACTTTCAGATACTTCAAAATTGATGCTGTGCCTTAGGCCAGACCCCAAAATCTTGGGGCAAAGTTTACCAAGACAGTAAATGGCCAAAAGTTAGGTATGTGGGAGACACACCCACAAACCACCTCTGGCTCACCTCATAATTGTAGGCATGGCCTCTCTGGTTCCTGATCGAACTGCTTAATAGCCATGAACCTGGAGATTCAGAAATGAATCTCGGAACCCAAAGGGTTTTGGCAGAAATGCATCCTGTTCCTGCAGTAGGTTACTGGTGCTGGGCCACTCCAGGTGGGAATAGGTTTCATGCCTTGGCCTGTTCCCCTTGATGGCCCAGTGACCACCATCCTCCAGAGGCCACTGGACAGTCAAGTTTTGGCCTGCAGTGACAAGACACACGGGGCCACACCAGATGGGGATGGAACCAGCCCTTTCCTCCCCGTCCCAGCGAGACCACGAGTCGCTATCTACAAACAGCCTCTCTGGCTCCTGATCAAGCTAATTAACGACCATGATCCCAGAGACTCAGAAACAAATCTCAAAACTCAGCGGCTTTTGGTAGAAATGCATCTGGACTGCATACAAGGTGGCTGCCGCCTCAGAGCTTCTTGGAAAGCCAGATATGAGCCGGCGGTGTCGGGGCAACTGCAGTCTCATGGGAAGGGGGGCATTACCAGCTCATCCTTCACACCCTACCGAGGTCACAAGTTGCCCCCCACAAGTGGCTCTCTGGAACGACCATGGCTTCAGAGGCAAAAGGACTTAGTCCAGAGCCTGGCATCTCGCATCAGAAAAGTGAATGGACCATGTGCTAAACTACGGCGCCATGCCTCCCGGGGAGGCTATGGGTGTTGCTCCTTCTGCCTCCGTTCCCCCCCCCCATCAGCAAGGTGGCCGCCGCCTCAGAGTTTATAAGAAAGCCAGGTATGAGCCAGCGTTTATGGGGTATCTGCAGTCTCATGGGAAGGGGGGCAGTGCTGGCTCGTCCTTCATGTCCTATGAGCAGCTCTCTGGCACAGCCATAACACCAGGCGCACAGAAACCAATCTCGTAATTATCTGGCTCTTTGCAGAAATCCAAAATAGCGAGACTGCTATTGCAGCCACGCGAGATTATATGATTCTCATAACCAGCTATAGAAAAAAATGTATTTCACAATGCCTTTTCAGCAATTCTGATTGTTGGGGGGGAAATTCTAAACAATAACGGTGCATCTTTTGTCGAAATAATGAATGTAATCAATGTAAAGAATAGTTAAGTGGAAATCATCTGCCTCAGAGGCATTAGGAAGGTTGGGAGGGGGGTTATATTGGGGTTCTTTGTGGTGAAAAACTGAGTACTGGTGAAGGGAGAGGTGTTTGATCATTGTGTGCCCGAGACTTAAACCTGAAAGCTTAGTAGCTTTTCCCAACAGTGATTCAATAAATAAATATAAAAAAAAAGAAAAAAATTAAGGTGGAGTTCATACCCAATTCAATCAGCTAATCAGTGACTGAATAAATTGCAGTACTGCTACATTAAAAAAATAAAATAAAATAAAATGAGGTCCAATGACCAACCCAATTGAAAGCTGCAAAGGCCATGAATCAGCAGACCAGTTAAAAAATAACTAACACCCCCCCCCCAAAAAAATGCCCCCTAGTGAAACCAGGAAAAGATACAAGGAAACCAGGTACCAGGAATATAGTACAGAGATGAGGGTATTTGCCTTGCATGTAGTGGAACCCAATTTAACCCCCAGCATCACAAGGCTTCCTGAATCCCTGGGGGATGGGGGGCCGGGGGCAGAATCTTTAGCACTGCAAGGCCTGCAAAGCACCACACCCTCGGCTCCTCCTATTGCCCCACTGACCTGTTAGCTGGGAATTGCCTTAAGTGGCTCCCAGGCACCTTGAGCAACACAGGGTAAGGGGAGAGGGCGTGGGGTGGGCAGTAGTGATAGGGGATCAAGAGAAAAGAAAGTAAATCAGAACTAATGGTTACTTGTCACTTGTTAGATGTGGGGGCGGGTGGTAATCAAACTTTGATAACGACTGTTTTGATAAAGTCTGTTTGGGGTATTAAAAGTAGATATGACCATTCTGGAGGATGTTTTAGAAATATCACAGAGCAGGATTAAGCCTTGAGCACCTGCAGATGTGAACTAAAACCCCCTTCCCAAACCCCTAAGACAACAATCTGACCATATTGAGTGAACCATACTCCTTTTTTCCCCCTTCTCTAGCTTGAATTTGTTGCCAGATTCATCTCGGAGGAAGTCATGGAAGCCATCCTGTGAGCTCTGCAGCCAGGTAAAAGTCCCCCACCTGAATCCACTGGTAGTTTAATGTGTCAACAGCAGAAACCGCCGAAGAAGCTGTGTACTGTGTCTGGCAGCCAAAAGAGGAAGCTGAGAACCATGTTTTTTCATCAAACCCAAGTGCTCCCAATGCGTAGCTACAGAATAAATGTGTCTCTATGGTTATAAATGTCAGCAGTGTCCAAATAATCCAGCACTGATTATAAACCATGTACTGACCATAAACCAGGCAAGTGGTTTGTAAGCCCTTCGCATGATGGCACAGGGCTCTCAGAGCGGGTCTTAACATCCTGGGTGAAGCTTGGGAGGCTCTGACTTGAATGTGTGTGTGTGTGTGTGTGTGTGTGTGTGTGTGTGTGTGTGTACGTGCGCCACACTCATCCACCTCCAGGTGGGAAAGGCAGGTTCTATGCAGGCCCCAGAGCATGGACCTCAAAAGTTGACCTACTCACCTCCTGGAAACCGAGACGCCACATCCTGTCTCTAACAAATGTTTCTCATGCTCAATTTGAATATCAGCAAGAAGGCACTAGGAAACTGGAAGCAGTGGCACCCTCTTATCCTGACCACCCAGGCACCTCAAAAGTACAAGAGCTCTGTAGAATCCCTCCAGAACCTGCAAGCTGGGGCTTGCTCCATTCCGTCAACTCCTGCCACATGGGTCTGCAGGAATTTCTTCCTTAACAAAGCAACTCCTGGAATTACCCATGCCTAAAGATTTTTTTCCTCCTTCTGCCAAAAGCTCAGCTGGAAGAATGAGGCTTCGGCTTGTCAAATGAAGTGAGATGTTCCTAGTTCCTCCCTGGGGGATAACAGGGCTAGTTTGTCCCCTTCTAACTGTGGGGTGACTGCATTTTATCAAAGCAGAAGACAGTCCAAGTTGTGAATGAGCAGCACATGGGGGCAGGTGGGGGTGGGGCTGACTTTATTCTTTGCTTGGTTTGCAAGTCAGAAACAAGGGCTGGCAGACATGTGATGAGAATTTCAGCTAGCTAGTCACAAGACAAAAATAGTAGTGTTATAAAGGTTCTGTCACTGAAAATTGGGTGGGGCAGGGGGGAATTGGCAGGGATATCTTTAAGATGTAGTTAAGTTTAGGAAGCTGGACTATGCATGTTTTTAGCAAAATATAGCTCTGAAGTATGATAGATATAGAGATAGATAGATAGATAGATAGATAGATAGATAGATAGATAGGATATATAGGGCCGGAGTGATAGTACAGTGGGTAGGGCATTTGCCTTGCATATGTCCAACCTGGGTTTGATCCCTAACATCCCATATGGTCCCCAAGCACAGCTAGGAGTAATTCCTGAATGCAGAGCCAGAAGTGACCCCTGGGCATCACGAGGTGTGACCCAAAAAGCAGCATATAAATACAATATATGTATATGTATATATATATATATACATATCTAGTATTTAGGAAGATGATTAAAAGAAACAAAGGTCACCTGCAAGAAGCCTGTATCATGTTTCAGCCAATGTTGCTTCAATAAAAATAAAATGCTCTTTATTTTATATCATAAAACAGGTACCTTTATTTATTTATTTATTTATTTTAAAATTTTTTATTAGTGAAACACCATGACGTACAGTTGTAGACTTACAAATTTTTGTGCTTGGGTTTCAATTATACAATGATCGAGCACCCACCCCTCCACCAGTGCCCATTTCCCACCACAACGGGTCCCAGTATGCCTCCCAGCCCCCAGCCCCCCCAATCCCACCCTGCCTCTGTGGCTGGGCATTCCCTTTTGTTCTCTCTCTCATTTTGGGTGCTGTGGTTTGCAAAAGAGGCATTGAGTGGCAATCATGTTCGGTCTATAGTCCACTTTCACCATGCATCTCCCATCCTGGGAGGATCCTCCCAACACCTTTTATTTGGTGCTCTGTTCTCTATGTGAGCTGCCTTTTCCCCCAGCATGTGCGGTTGGCCTCCAAGCCATGGAGTAAACCTCCTGGTAATTATCTTGGCTATTCTTGAGTGTTAGTCTACTATTTTGTTACTTTATGTTCCCCAGATGAATGCAGTCTTTCTATGTCTTTCTATTTCTGACTCATTTCGCTTAGCATGATACTTTCCATGTAGTACCACTTGTATGTAAATTTTATGACTTCATCTTTTCTAACAGCTACATAGTACTCCATTGTGTAGATGTACCAAAGTTTCTTTAACCAGTCATCTGTTCTTGGGCATTCAGGTTTTTCTCAAATTCTAGCTATTGTAAAGAGTGATGCAGTGAACAAACAAGTGCAGATGTCACTCCGACTATACTTTTTTTTTCCTTTCTGGGATATATTTCCAGGAGTGGTGTTGCTGGGTCAAATGGAAGCTCAATTTCCAATTTTTTGAGAATCGTCTATACTGTTTTCCAAAAGGGCTGAACCAGTCAGTATTCCCACCAGCAGTAAAGGAGTGTCCCTTTCTCGCCACATCCGTGCCAGCACCGGTTGCTTTTGTTCTTGTGGATGTGGGCCAGTCTCTGAGGTGTGAGATGGTATCTCATTGTGGTTTTGATCTGCATCTCCCTGATGATTAATGATGTAGGGCATTTTCTCATGTGCCTTTTAGTCATTCAGATTTCTTCTTTGAGAAAGTTTCTGTTCATTTCGTCGCCCCATTTTTTGATGAGGTTGGATGTTTTCTTCTTGTGGAGTTCAGCCAGTACTTTGTATATCCTTGATATCAACCCCTAGTCGGATAGGTATTGGGCAAATATCCTTTCCCATTCTGTAGACTGTCTTTGTATTTTATTCACTGTTTCTTTTGAGGTGCAGAAACTTTTTAGTTTAAGATAGTCCCATTTGTCTATCGCTATTCTCACTTGCTTGGCCAGTGGTGTGACATCTTTGAAGATGCCATTAGCTTCAATGTCATGGAGGGATTTGCCAACTCTTTCTTCAATGTACCTTATGGATTCTGGTCTGATGTTGAGGTCTTTAATCCATTTTGATCTTACTTTTGTACATGCTGTTAGGCAGAGATCTGAGCCCATTTTTTTGCATGTAGTTGTCCAGTTTTGCCAGCAGAATTTTTTTTTTGACTTTCTGAAAAAAAAGGTTTTTTTTTTCTTTTTTTTCCCCTTTATTTTATTTTATTTTTTTTAAAGTTGTAGATTTACAATTTTTTGTGCTTTGGTTTCAATTATACAATGATCAGATACCCATCCCTCCACCAGTGCCCATTTTCCACCACCATGGATAATATCCCTCCCACCCCCATCCCCCCATCCCCCCGTCTCTGTGGCAGGGCAATCCCCTGTGTTCTCTCTCTCCTTTTGGGTGTTGTGGTCTGCAAAAGAGGCATTGAGTGGCAAACATGTTCAGTCCATAGTCTACTTTCGACATGCATCTCCCCTCCTGGGAGGATCCTCCAAACATCCTTTATTTGGTGCTCCCTTCTCTATCTGAATAGCCCTTTCCTCTAGGATACCCGGCTGGCCTCTAAGTTATGGAGTAATCCTCCTGGTGCTGATCTCAGCTATTCTTGGGTATTAATCTCATACTTTGTTACTTTATATCCCCCAGATGAATGCAATCTTTCTATGTCTATCCCTCTCTTTCTGACTCATTTCGCTTAGCATGATACTTTCCATATTGTACCACTTGTATGTAAATTTCATGACTTCATCTTTTCTAAGAGCTACATAGTACTCCATTGTGTAGATGTACCAAAGTTTCTTTAACCAGTCATCTGTTCTTGGGCATTCAGGTTTCTTCCAGTTTCTAGCTATTGTAAAGAGGGCTTGCCAGCAGAATTTTTTAAAGAGGATTTCCTTGCTCCACTTCACATTTCTTGCTCCCTTATCAAAGATTAGATGATCATATGTTTGGGGGAAATTACCCTTATTTTTTACTAAGATGACAGAATCTGGCAGTAGCAGCTCTTAGCCTCCTGGCACTTGCTGGAAGATTCTGAAAGTAGACTCTATCCTTTGTTCTGGAAACCTTTGGCTTCTGACTAACGTTCACACATCTGTAGCAAAACTTTCAATAGAATTGTTAATGTTTTGCTTACAAATAAACAAAGTACTGAAGAAAGCAGGCTAAGTTGGGAAACTTTTTCCACCCTCTATGTTTCAGATGAATAAGCAATCATGCTTAATTCTGAGGTGTGCTTTCTTTCCGAATGGGGGCTCTGTTAATTCTGCCATTCTGTATCAAATATGCCTTGTGCATCCTGTAAAATAACCGCCAGAGTGTCAAAAGAGACAGTTATGCTTGCTATCCCATGAGCACTGTATTGACAAACAAAAGGCTTCCCAGAACTACCTTCTGAACTTTGTCGTGTCCTTTCAAAGTGTCTACCTACTCAGAACTAAAGAACTCTGATCTATTATTGATTTAAACTAGTGAAAAACAAATAGCACTTCAGAACTTGTTTCATAGGACCAAAAATTTGTAGGTTCCAGTCTACTTATAAAAAATAGTAAAAGCTGATTGTGGCGTTTTGAAGAATAGATAAAATGACTATATTCAATAGGCTTGCACCATCCATTATGGTGGTCATTGCCACTTATGCTTATTTTATTAAAATGTATTTAACTGAAATCTATAATTAGGTTTCTAAAGTACAGGGATAAGGCATTTTCCTTGCACATGGCCATCCCTGTCCTATCCCTGACAATGACAGGGTCCCTGAGCACCTCCAGGTGATTCCTCAGCACAAAGCCAGAAGGAAGCCCTGGTATCTCCCCATGTGACCAACTTCTCCCACCCCTTTATTGTGAAAAGAGGCACACAATGTGCTGAGAGGTGACTGTTGGCTTTTGTATCATTGATATTTTCAGTTAGTAGAGTTAAAAAAGATGAATAATTGATTTTACATTGACATTTTTATTTTCATTACATTTTCCTTTACAGGCCATTATTTTTGCTGATTTTTCATATTCAGTGTGATATTTTTCCCCTACAGCGGTAGAGATGTTGAGTTGCGTGGACTGAACTGAAACTTATTTAGTTTCTGTTTGTTCTTATTTGGCTGGTGAG